GGTCCTAATTAGATTTTTTTAAGTGAGGGATACATATTTCTAAAAGAAGAGCTAAAAATGAATCTGTAAGAAGATAGAGGGTGAAAATTGAATGGCAAAATATTTGATTAAAAGAAAAGAGAAGAAGGAACATAGATGGAATGAGTACAAAATCATAAGATGGAAAGATTTAAATCTATATATATATATCACCAATTGCTTTAAATATAAGTGGACCAAATGCTGTCATTCAAGACAGATATTTAAAAACTGAATTTTAAAAAGTCCACAATATGCTTTGTAAGGGATACATTTTAAATATAATAACATAGGATCGTTGAATTCTAACATAAGAAAAATATATACTACAATAATACAAAGTAAGAGAAAGCTGGTCTAGCAATACTTATATTAGGCAAACCAGACTTTAGTGAGAGGCATTTTATTGTAGGTCAAGAGAGTTTTCATAATTAAAAAGGGGGTTAATCTACCTGGAAGATGGCAACAGTTCTACATTTGTATGTACCTGGTAGCACAGCAACAAATTATATAAAGAAAAAAATCAATAGAACTAAAAAGAGAATAGGTAAATCTATAATAATGATTAAAGATTTTACCATAACTCTCCTGAAAACTGATGGCGCAAACAGACTGAAAATAATAATGTAGAAGATTTGGGCAACACAACCATTGCTATATTCTAGAACATTTCATCCAAAAAATTCAAAATATACACTATTTTCTAGTACACACAGAACATTTAGCCAAGTTGCTCATATGCTGGATTAAACTACAATTCTCAACGCAGTCCAGAAGACTGTAATTGAGAATATGTTCTCTGACCACAGTAACATTAAGCTAGAAATAAGATCAAAGAAAATGTCCCCAAATGAGTGACTATTAAGTAGTATACTTCTCGTAACCCATGGTAAACTGGAGACCACAGTAACATTAGAAAATATTTTGAAGTGAAAAATAGTGTAGATACAACGTATCAAAGTGTGGGATTTAGTGCAAGCCATGCTTAGAAGTGTGTAACCACAGTTGTGTTTAGAAAAGAAGTGAAGAATAAATCTGCTCTCTAAATATTCCTTTCAAAAACTCAATAGAAGAACAAGAAATTAAAGTGGAAGCATGGAAATAAAATGAATAGAAATTAATGAAATGGGGGAAAATGTACAATAAAAATCAATTAAGCCAAAAGTCAGGTTTCTGAAAGGAACCCTCCCCCTTAACAAGTATTCAAGGGCAAAAAGAATAGACAGTAACTACTCATATCAGGAATTGAATAAAGAGACAGGACTACAGATCCCAAAGGCATTTAGAGAGATAAGAGGATAGTATGAACAATTTCATGTGAATTTGAAAAAAGAACTTCCAAAACTCACACACTAAGAAACAAAAAATAGGATTAGTCTTATAGCTGTTAGAGAAATTGAATCTGTAATAAAAAACCTGCCCACAAAGAAGGCTTCAGACCCATATATCTTCACATTTGAATTTTAGTAAACATTTTAAGAAGAAATAACATTAGTCTTACACAAAGATTTTAGAAAACAGGAAGTGGCAAACATTTCTATTTTTTTAATGAGACTAGCATAATCTTGATCCTAAAATCTTACCAGGACATTACAAGAACAAAATTAATTGGCCAGTCTTTTAAAACATTAAAGATGCATGTTTAAGATATTAAGCTTGTAAGCATCACAACCAAGTTTATTTACTAAACAGATGTAAGCTTGTTTATTTACCACATTAAAAGAGTAAAGGAGAAGAAAATCATATCAATAGCTGCAGAAAAAAGTCATACATACTCATGGTAATACTTAAAAAACTAAGACTAGACAAGAAACTTGTTAATCTAATAAGGAGTTTTTACATAAAGCCTATAAAAAAATTCTGAAAATAATGAAACTTTCCCCTGAGATCAGAAATAAGAGAAAGATGCCCTCTATTACCATTTCAACATTGCATTAGAGGTGTTCTAGCCAATGTAATAGGGCAAGAAAAAGAAAGTGTATCATTTGGAAAGGAAAAAATAAAACTACTGTTATTTGCAGATAACACTGATGTGTTTAGAAAGCTAAAAAGTATCTACAGTGACCTATTAGGAATAAGTGGTATAGCAAGTTTGCTGGAAACAAAGTCAATATGTAAAAAATCAGTGTTATTTCTCTGCTACAGGTAATTAGGAAATGAAAATTTTAAAGCTCTACCATTTACATTAGCATCTAAAATCAAATATCTAGCAGTACAATCAAAGAAATATGTCTTAGCATATAGAGAACTATCAACTATTATCAAAAGTTAAGATCTACATAATTAGAGCAATAAACTGTTTCATTGATTGAAGAATCAATATTTTAAAGATACTAGTTTTGGCCAGATTGATCTGTAGATTCAGTATCATAAAAATCTCAGCAGGTTTTTCCTTTAGCTTTAGAAATTGAAATTTATATGGAAATGTAAGAGCCAAAAATAGCTAAAATAATTTCGAAGAATAGCCAAAGGTAGAAGAACATACACTATCATATATTAAGACATTGTTACAAGAGTTACAGTAATTAAAACCGTGTAGTGTTACTGCCAGAAGAAATAGATCAGTTTAGAGCATCCAGAAACAAAAACATACATGGACAAAGGTGATATGTGACAGGTGATAACTGCCAAGCAACAAGAGAAGAGGTGTTTTTCAGTAAATGTTGCTAGGTCAGTTTGAGCTCTATATGGGGGAAAAAATGAAACTTCAAGAGGGTAACATAAAAGAATATCTTTAAGACTGAGACTGGCAAAAATGTCCGAAATAGGAAAGAGCACTGAACACAAAGGAATAGACAGAAAAATCTGATGTTTTATTAAAAACAGCATTAAAGGAGTGAAAAGACAGGACAAAGACTAGTGAGAAATAGTTGTAATTTATATAATTGACAAAGGACTTATCCAGTATTTATAAACATCAGTAGCAGATGATGGACAACCAAGTAAAGTATCAAAAGTTTAAATAGGAACTTTATAAACTTAAATAGGAACTTTATAAACAAAGATATCTAAATGCCATTAAAACCATTAAAATGTGTTCAACTTCACTGGTCTTTGAACAGTGCAAGATAAAAATCACAATGAGATACTACTAGCTAACCTGTCAAATGGCTAAAATGAAAAAAAAAAATGACTTTACCAAGTGTTGGCAAGAATATAGGGCACTGGAATGCTCAAGTGGAAGTATGAATTAATAAGACTACTTTGCAAACTGGAAATACAGGTTGAACATCCCTAATCTGTGAACATCCCTAATCTGAAATGCCTCAAAATCTGAACTTTTTGAGCTCTGATAGGACACCACAAGTGGAAAATTCTACACCTGACCTTATGTGACAGCTCATACAGAATTATTTAAAACATTGTGTAAAATTACCTTCAGGCTGTATATACAAGGTGTATGTGAAACATAAATGAATTTCATGTTTAGACGGCCCCATCCCCAACATATCTCATTATGTATATGCAAATATTTCAAAATCAAAGCACTTATGGCCCCAAGCATTTCAGATAATGGATACTAAAACCTGTATTTACTAATACTGTTGTAATTCTCATATCCTCTGACCACTCAATTTGAGGCCTATGTATATATCCAGTGGGAATGCATACAAATGTATTCCAAAGGACATGTATAAAATCTTCACATCAGCATTATTTATAATTCAAAACTGGAAACTGCCCAGTGTCCTTCAGCTGAAATGAATAAATTATATATTCATTCAGTGGAATGCTGTATGATCATATAAATGATTAACTATATAGAATGAGTCTCAAAACAATGTTAAATGAAAGAACCCTGACACAAATTCATATTGTACAGATTATATATTAAGTTCAAAACTTATTTCTGTTGTTAAAATTAGGATAGTAGCTATCTTTGGGAAAGGGAGAGTGGTTAGTGACTGGGAGGAGACACAGACTTCTGGGCTTCTGGCAGTCTGATCTGGATGGTGGGTATGTGAGAGGTCTACTTTGTAAAAATATATCAAAATGTACCTTGTCATTTGGCAGTTTTTTGTTTGTTGCAATTCGGTAAATACTTTTTAAAAAAAATAGTTAACAAAAATCTATTGATCCAGCTCTCCTACTTTGGGGTTCTCTCTTAAACAAAAGAAAATGATTTAAGGATTCCTGAGCTGACTGTGCAATAGATGACAGGGTGTCCTATTACAGCATTGTTTGTAGTAGCAGAAGTGTCTGTTACTAGGAAAGTGGTTGAATAAGTCATGGAATATCTATTCTGTGGAGCATTACACATTTATTTTAAAAGACTATCTGTTGACCTGAAGAATTGTTAAACTTATTTAAAAAATGCAAACTAGAGTGTATTGTTTGTTTTCATTTTTGTTTAAAAATATATGTGCATAGGTTTTTATGTGAGCCTGGAGAACAGAGTGGAAAGACATATTTACTGAAGTGAGAGAGGAATTAGCAATTTGTGCAGGGACAATTATTGAATTTTTCTAGGTACATCTTTGTATAATGGTTTTCTCAGGTGCTGCTCTTACCAGTAGCCTTTTGGCAGTTCATTGTATTGACAGCAGCCTCTTTGTCCTGTGATATTCAGCTAATATCAATCACTGATTGATGAAGGATTATGACTTATAGTAAAAGAAGTAACAGAGTGTTTAGAGAAAACCTACCTGGGTATTTCTGGATAATATATAACTCATAAAATTAGCAGTGCAAGGATCGGCACATGCCTTGGGCTCACTTGGGCCCTGATGCTGAAGCAGGAGGATTCCTTGAACCTAGCAGTCTGAGGCCCTAGTGTTCTTGGTTGCTCCTGTGAATAGCCAGTGCACTCCAGCCTGGGCAAGACAGTGAGACTTTGTATTCAAAAAAACAAAAAAACAAAAACTGGTAGTGTGTGGCTATATTATGGGTGTTGTCAAATAGGATTATAATCATAATGCAAATCAGATGAAGTATTTGTTCCTAATGTTAGGGATATGACTTGTTTCTTTGTTTCTTTCAAGAGGGAGCAAGAAAGCCAAATGGCTCGTCTTAAAAAACAGCAGGAAGAATTGGAACAGATGAGACTACGTTACCTGGCTGCGGAGGAAAAAGATACAGTAAAAACTGAGCAGCAAGAATTGTTGGATATAAGAAATGAATTGAACAGGTATTATAACTAAAAGAGTGTTTCTTTCAAAAACCAAAGTTTGGTTCAGGGAAGATACAACTTCAGGTCTTCCAAGGATAAAGTAGATCGTATATAAAAATATATAAAATGTAGTAGACATATACAATAGAAGATCTATGGCAGCAGGACACTGTGGCTCATGCCTGTAATCCTAGCACTCTGAGAGGCTGGTGGGAGGATCCTTTGAGCCCAAGAGTTCCAAGCTGCAGTGAACTATGATCATGCCAACCGCACTCCAGCTTAGCGACAGCTTGGGTGACAGAGTGAGACCTTTTGTCAAATTTAAAAAGAAAGAAAAGAAAATCTATGCCAAAGATCATTAAACCTTTTTTTTTTTTTTTGCTATGACTACATCTATGGAAAGTCCATTTAGCTCTCCTGTGTCCATTTATAGGATTAGTACTTTAAAATTTATTTTTGTGTGATGATTTCAGAATTATTGCTACTATTAAACTGAGTCTTGAATTATATAAAGTATAAGAAATTTCAAATTTGATTATATTATTAATATCTGTAACATTAGCTCTTAGTGAGCCCATACTTTGTGTCAAGAGCTGTTTTAAATGTCTTACATTGCTCAGCTCATTTTTAAAAAATCTTCAAAGCTACTTTGTGAGAAAGATATTTTCACCATTTTAGAGATAAAGAGATGAAAATTAAAGCTTAAATTTAAGATTATTCAAAGTCATATGGAGTTCAAATCTGATTCCAGAGATTGTATTTTTAACTACTGTGCTACATTGGGCTTCTCTGTAGTCCTGTGTTCATCTTAATCACAACTTCAACAGTGTTTCATGTTAGAAAAGTAATCACAAAGAAGCAGCATAAAAATGAACTCTAGTCTTTTTGGAGAGTGGTTTTGGGAGAAGACTTTTTAGTTTAGTTTATCAAGGGTCTAGTATATTTTTGTTTGAGCAAAGTGCAGTTTTAGTTAACTTGGACTGATTTTAAAAAATACCATAGATTGGGTAGCTTAAATAGAAGTTTATTTTCTCACAGTACTAGAGGCTAGAAGTCAAAGATCATGGTGCCAGTGTGGTTGGTTTTAGAGGGCCACCTTCTCAACTGTGTCGTCTCTCTGGTGTCTCTTCTTATGAGAGCACTAATCCCATGATTAGAATTTACCCTCATGGCCTGATCTAAACCTGATTATCTCCCAAAGGTCCATCTCTAAATACCATCACATTGGAGGTTAGGGCTTCAGCATGTGAATTTGGCAGGGACACAGTTCAGAGCATACGCATTATATTTGACACAGTATCTTATGATTATCTCCATGTATGAAGTAGAGAAAAATGTGGTCACTATATTAAGTGGGTTCCTAGCTGAATTAAATAACTGTATTTAAAAGATAATAGAAGAAATACCAGTTGTAAAAGGTCAGCTCTAAGTACCATGCTTAACAGGGTTCAATCCATAGTACTTTTATTCTCATTTATTCAGAATACTTATTTGGTATCTACAATATTGTAGACTTGGAAGATATTACAAATTAATGAATTATAATATCCTTGCCTTCCAAAATTTTGCTGTCATATTTAGCACTTTTTTGGTTCTAGTTTAGCAAGTGTATATTTAGCTCCTGCTGTTTGATAAGTACTGTTTTGGTGGCTTAAAGATATCCATATTGCCTATCAAATTCGTAGATCATACACAATTGAATATTACTAAATGTTATCTTAATAAATATTAATTAATAAATTATGCTTCTGAGAGAACGGAAAACAATATTAAATATATTAGAGACCAAAAAGGCTGAAAATCCCAAAAACCAGAATGCCTCTTCTCCTCTAAGGGATCATAACTCCTTGCCAGCAAGGGAACAAAACTGGATGGAGAATGATTTTGATGAAATGACAGAGCAGGCTTCAGAAGGTGATTAATAACAAACTCCTCCAAGCCAGAGGAGCATGTTCTAACCCAATGCAAGAAAGCTAAAAACCTTGAAAAAAGGTTAGACAAATTGTTAACTAGAATGAGTTAAGAACATAAACAAACTGATGGAGCTGAAAAACACAGCACAAGAACTTAATGAAGCATACATAAGTTTCAACAGCTAAATCGATCAAGTGGAAGAAAGGATATCAGAGATTGAAGATCAACTCAATGAAATAAAGCAAGAAGACTAGAGAAAAAAGAGTGAAAGGAAACGAACAAATCCTCCAAGAAATACGAGATTACATTGAACAACCAAATCTACATTTCATCAGTGTACCTGAAAGCGACGGGGAGAATGGAACCACGTTGGAAAACACTTTTCAGGATATTATCCAGGAGAAATTCCCAAAACTAGCAAGGCAGACCAACATTCAAATTCAGGAAATACAGAGAACACTACAAAAATACTCTTCAAAAAGAGCAATCCCGAGACACATAATCGTAAGATTCACCAAGGTTGAAATGAAGGAAAAAATGCTAAGTGCAGCCAGAGAGAAAGGTCAGGTTACTCACAAAGGGAAGCCCATCAGACTCAGCAGATCTCTCAGCAGAAACCCTACAAGCCAGAAGAGAGTGGTGGCCAGTATTCAACATTCTTAAAGAAAAGAATTTTCAGCCCAGAATTTCAGATCCAGACAAACTAAGCTTCATAAGTGAAGGAGACATAAAATCCTTTACAGATAAGCAAATGCTAAGAAATTGTGTCATCACGGGGCCTGCCTTACAAGAGCTCTGGAAGGAAGCACTAAATATGGAAAAGAACAACTGGTACCAGCCACTGCAAAAACCTACCAAATTACAAAGACCATTGTAGCTTTGAAAAAACTGCATCAACTAACGTGCAAAATAAACAGCTAGCACCATAATGGCAGGATCAAATTCACACATAACAATATTAACCTTAAATGTAAATGGGCTAAAATCCCCAATTAAAAGACACAGAATGGCAAATTGGATAAAGGGCCAAGACTCATTGGTGTGCTGTATTCAGGAGACACATCTCACATGCAAAGACACACATAGGATCAAAATAAAGGGAGGGAGGAAGATTTACCAAGCAAAAGGAAAGTAAATAAAAAGCAGGGGTTGCAATCCTAGTCTCTTGATAAAACAGACTTTAAAACAACAAAGATCAAAAGAGATAAGGGCATAACATAATGGTAAAAGGATCAATGCAACAAGAAGAGCTAACTGTCCTAAATGTGTATGCACCCAATACAGGAACACCTGGATTCATAACACAAGTTCTTAATGACCTACAAAGAGATTTAGACTCCCACACAATATTAGTGGGAGACTTTAACACCCCACTATCATTATTAGACAGATCAATGTGACAGAAAATTAGCAAGGATATCCAGTACTTGAACTCAGCTCTGGACCAAGTGGACCTAATACACATCTCCAGAACTCTCCACCCCAAATCAACAGAATATACATTCTTCTCAGCACCACATCACACTTTTTCTAAAATTGACCATATAATTGAGAGTAAAACGCTCCTCAGCAAATGCAAAGGAATGGAAATCATAACACACAGGCTCTCAGACCACAATGCAATCAAATTAGAACTCAGGTTTAAGAAATTCACTCAAAACCACATAGCTGCATGGAAACTGAACAACCTGTTCCTGAATGACTGCTGGATAAATAATGAAATGAAGACAGAAATAAAGATGTTTTTGAATCCAATGAGAATGAACACAGCATACCAGAATCTCTGCACATTTAAAGCAGTATATAGAGGGAAATTTATACCACTAAATGTCCACAAGAGAAAGCAGAAAAGATCTAAAATCAACACCCTAACATGACAATTAAAAGAACTAGAGAAGCAAGAACAAACAAATGCAAAAGCTAGCACAAGAAATAACAGAGCAGAGCAGAACTGAAGGAGACACAGAAAAATCCCTTCAAAAAAATCAATGAATCCAGGAGCTTGTTTTTTGAAAAGGTCAACAAAATAGATAGACTGCTAGCCAGATTAATAAAGAAGAGAGAAGAATCAAATGTAGAAAAAATGATAAAGGGGATATCACCATCAATCCCACAGAAATACAAAGTACCATCAGAGAATACTATAAACACCTCTATGCAAATATACCAGAAAATCTAGAAGAAATGGATAAATTCCAGGACACTTACATCCTCCCAAGACTAAACCAGGAAGAAGTCAAATCCTTGAATAGACCAATAGCAGGTTCTGAAATTGAGGCAGCAATTAATGGCCTACCAACCAAAAAAAGTCCAGGACCAGTTTCACAGTCGAATTCTACCAGAGGGTACAAAGAGAAGCTGGTACCCTTCCTTCTGAAACTATTCCAAATAATAGAAAAAGAGGGAATCCTCCCTAACTCATTTTATGAGGCCAGCATCATCCTGATACCAAAACCTGGCAGAGACACAACAAAACAAGAAAATTTCAGGCCAATAGCCCTGATGAACATCGATGTGAAAATCCTCAATAAAATACTGGCAAACTGAATCTAGCAGCACATCAAAAAGCTTGTCCACCACAATCAATTCAGCTTCATCCCTGGGATGCAAGGCTGGTTCAACATACACAAATCAATAAATGTAATCCATCGCATAAACAGAACCAGTGACAAAAACCACAAGGTTATCTCAATAGATGCAGAGAAGGTCTTTGACAAAATTCAACAGCCCTTCATGCTAAAAACTCTCAATAAACTAAGTATTGATGGAATGTTATTTCAAAATAATAGCTATTTATGACAAGCCTTCAGCCAGTGTCATACTGAATGAGCAAAAAACTGGGCACATTCTCTTTGAAAACCAGCGCAAGACAAGGATGCCCTCTCTCATCACTCCTATTCAACATGGTATTGGAAGTTCTGGCCAGGGCAATCAGGCAAGAGAAAGAAATAAAGGGTATTCAGTTAGGAAAAGAGGAAGTCAAATTGTCTCTGTTTGCAGATAATGTGATTGCATATTTAGAAGACTCCATCATCTCAGCCCAAAATCTAGTTAAGCTGATAAGCAACTTCAGCAAAGTCTCAGGATACAAAATCAACGTGTAAAAATCACAAGCATTCCAGTACACCAGTAACAGACAAACAGAGCCAAATTATGAGTGAAATCTCATTCATAATGGCTACAAAGAGCATAAAATACCTGTGAATACAACTTACAAGGGATGCGAAGGACCTCTTCAAAGGAGAACTAAAAACCCCTTTTCAAGGAGATAAGGACACAGATAAATGGAAAAACATTCCATGCTCATGGTTAGGAGGAATCAATATCGTGAAAGTAATTTATAGATTCAATGCTGTCCCCATCAAGCTACCATTGACTTTCTTCAGAGAATTAGGAAAAACTATTTTCAATTTTGTATGGAACCAAAAAAGAGCCCACATAGCCAAGACAATCCTAAGCAAAAAGAACAAAGCTGGAGGCATCATGGTACCTGTCTTCGAACTATACAAGACTACAGTAATCAAAGCAGTATGATACTGGTACCAAAATAGATATATAGACCAATGGAACAGAACAGAGGCCTCAGCAATAATGCCACACATCTACAACCATCTGATCTTTGACAAAACTGTCAAAAACAAGCAATGCGGAAAGGATTCCCTATTTAATAAATGGTGTTGGGAAAACTGGCTCACCATATGCAGAAAGCTGAAACTGGATCACTTCCTTACACTCTCTACAGTTTAAGTCTTTAATCCATCTTGCGTTAAAGATGGATTAAAGATCCACTGAGCTCAGGAGTTAAAGAGCAGCCTGGGAAACATAGTGAAATGCCATCTCTACACACACACACACACACACACACACACACACACACACACACACAAAAATTTAGCTGGGCATTGTGGCATGTGCCTGTAGTCCCAGTTACTCGGAAGGCTGAGGTGGGCAGATCCACTGAGCCCAGGAGGTCGAGGCTGCAGTGAACTGTGAGTCAAGATGAGTCTTTAACTCAAGATGGATTAAAGAGTTAAACATAAGACCAAAAGCCATAAAAACCCTAGAAAACCTAGGCAATACCATTCAGGACATAGGCATGGGCAAAGACTTCATGACTAAAACACCAAAAGCAATGGCAACAAAAGCCAAAACTGACAAATAAGAGTTAATTAAAGAGCTTCTGCACAGCAAAGGAAACTATCATCAAAGTAAACAGGCAACCTACAGAAGGGAATTTTTGCAGTCTACCCATCTGACAAAGGGCTAATATCCAGAATCTACAAAGAACTTAAACATATTTACATGAAAAAAAACAACGCCATCAAAAAGAGGGCAAAGGATATGAACAGACACTTCTCAAAAGGCAACATTTATGGAGCCAACAAAATATGAAAAAAAAAAACTCATCATCATTGGTCATTAGAGAAATGCAGGTCAAAACCACAATGAGATACTATCTCACGCCAGTTAGAATGGTGATCATTAAAAAGTCAGGAGACAACAGATACTGGAGAAAATGTGGAGAAATAGGAAAGCCTTTACACTGTTGGTGGGAGTGTAAATCAGTTCAACCATGGTGGAAGACAGTATGGCAATTCCTCAAGGATCTAGAACTAGAAATACCATTTGATCCAGCAATTCCATTACTGGGTATATACCCAAAGAATTATAGAATGCAATTTATAATTTATCCATAAGGATAGACTAGTTAAAGAAAATGTGGCACATTTATTCCATGGAATACTATGCAGCCATAAAAAAAAATGAGTTCATGTCCTTTGCAGGGACATGGATGAAGCTGGAAACCATCATTCTCAACAAACTAACACAAGAACAGAAAACCAAACACTGCATGTTCTCACTTATAAGTGGGAGTTGAACAATGAGAACCTGAAGACACAAAGAGCGGGCATCACACACCGGGGCCTTTTGGGGCTCGGGGGTTAGGGGAGGGATAGCATTAGGAGAAATACTTAATGTAGACAAAGGGGTAATGGATGTAGCAAACCACTATGGCACATGTATACCTATGTAAAAAACCTGCACATTCTGCACATGTACCACAGAGCTTAAAATATTATATATATTTTATATATGAGACAAAAGCAGAATCCTGTGTATAAGCTGTAAGAAAAATCGCTTAAGTGATAGATAACACATAAAACAGTTCATGTGAAACAGCTCAGGAAGATTTATGTGGCCACTAATAATTGTTTGATTTGGCTGCCAAAGAGTTAGTGCAGTTAGGGACATTCATAAAAGTAGTGTTCAGTATTCAGTGCTGGTAAATCACCTCTGGGATGCTCTGGGATGTTCTCACCCAGGCGTCCCCAAACTACGGCCCACGGGCCGCATGCGGCCCCCTGAGGCCATTTATCCGGCCCCCCGCCGCACTTCAGGAAGGGGCACCTCTTTCATTGGTGGTCAGTGAGAGGAGCACAGTATGTGGCGGCCCTCCAACGGTCTGAGGGACAGTGAACTGGCCCCCTGTGTAAAAAGTTTGGGGATGCCTGTTCTTACCAATGTGCAACACAGTTTAAGGGAAATCGGCTACCTAGAGAGCTTCTAGTGGAATATGACCAGGTCAGTAAGGGGCAATATATCATGTCATCAAAGAAGTTGTTTGGAGAGTGAAGGATTTGAACTTGGAGAACTCTTGGGAAAAGTGGTAGATAGCTGTCTTCAAATATCTGGAAGGCTACCATATTAAGAAGTAAGTGGACTTCTCCTCTTTAGGCAATATCATAGCCAATCACTGAAAATATAAAGAGGCATACCAAGTTCAATATAAGAAGGAACTTTCTAGTTAGAGCAGTTCTACAAAGTAGTATGTTTCTAGTGGCAGGGAGTGTGCTTGTAGAGTCCAGAACAGCAGTTTGCAGGAATGTTCTAAAAATTTCCTTTAACAACTTTATGGGCTTCTTCAGCTATCAGGTTCTAAAATTCTATTGTGATCATGACTAATAATTGCATTTATTAAAGATTTGGTAGAGATGATCTATCAGTTGTGCAAAAATTGCATTTGTCCTACATGTATAGATAGATGATGCACAGAAGGGAAATGGTTAATTTTCTTGTACATTGTTTAACATTGCATGCCATTAATTTACCTAGAGGACCCCATCCTACAAGACAGCTATAAGAATCAGCATAGGGGAAACAACTCTTCAGAAATCTACCCTTCCTTATCCACATGAATTGCTCAAATTTAATGGAAAGGCTTGGTACCAGTGTCTCATTCGCCACTCCATTTCCCACCCAGGTCCCAGAGTACAGTACCCTGCACCATTTCAGCTTTTTGTTTTGGAACAGATAAAGACATTTGATACCCTTCTTGTACTGTAGTTTCTTTCTTTCTTTCTTTCTTTTCTTTCTTTCTTCCTTTAATGAGGAATTATAGAAGTTTTATGTTTCAGAGGGCCATCTGAGCAAATGAAAGTGTGTACTTCCAGCAGTTGTATACCCTCTGTTGCCCATCCTGGTCTGTCAGAACAGGATTTGTTCCTCACTGCATCTTTCTCCTTCCCCCTCACCCTGTGTATAAATTCGGAAATGGACTTTGGCTTTTCTGTGGCTTTTTTCCTCTGAAGACTATCTCAGAGGAGGGACTTAGATGCAACTGCTTTGTCTTATAATCAAGACAAAATTTAGGAATTGTTGCAAATTAAAATACTTTGGTAGCCACTAATATAGAGAAATATAAAATTATATCTTAATTGTACATTCTAAATTAAATTAAAACATATTCCATATCCAAACTTAAGTCTTATTATCACTTAGTATACTTAGTAAGTAGGCCAGGTACAGTGGCTCATGCCTGTAATCCCAGCACTTTGGCAGGCCAAGGCAGACAGATTGCTTGAGCCCAGGAGTTAGAGACCAGCCTGGGTAACATAGTGAAATGCCGTCATACACACACACACACACACACACACACACACACACACACACACACACACACACACACAAGCTGGGCATGGTGGCATGTGCCTATAGTCCCAGCTATTCAGTAGGCTGAGGCAGGCAGATCCATTGAGCCCAGGAGGTCGAGGCTGCAGTGAACTGTGATTGCACCACTGCACTCCAGCCTGGGCGACAGGAGTGAGACTTTGTCTCAAACAAACAAAATATACTAAGTATTATTATTATTGCTCCATTTTCAAGACAGTTTGATAACAGTATTCTATTGGAAATACCCAAATCCCAGGTCAGCATCTACTCTCTTTTTTTCATCTACAAATGAGAATGATAACAAACATAACTTGAAGATATCCATATAAAACCTTAACATGCATATGCCCTTTGAAACCACACATATTTATAGAATTTTAGTTTCTACAAATAATTAGAGACATAAGCTCCATAATGGTAGGGAATTTTCTTCTTGGTTCACTCAGTGCAGTATCCCCTTAGCTTGTTTGGCACAAATAAATTTTTGTTGAATGAATTTTTTAAATGTATGTTCAAAACAACAATAACAAAAAAGGTTTAAGAGCAACCTAAGGATGAATAATAAAGGATGAATAAATGTTGATACCTCAAATGAGAGAATATTATAAAACCATTTAGAAGAACATTTAATGATATAAAAAAGTTACTATATAAATAAATAAGAAAAGTAGTACATAGCATTGCATATGTAGTATTTTTTAAAAAATACATATTTTAAGAACATATGCATTTTTTAAACTTGAAAATAAAAATATTATTCAAATTAGGGTAAGATTACAGTTGATTTTTATTTTCTTCTTTACACAGCTCCAAAATATCTATAGTTTTTATGTATTTTGTAATTAGAAAGACAAGTATTGTTTTTAAAGTTGCCTTTTATAAATGTGCAGACTCTGGCTAGCCAAGTGGAACATTGGTGGTTTTTTTTCTTCCTGAAAATATTACTAAAACCTTATTTTACCACTGAATCATTCTGTTTTTAAATTGCACTGTTAAGAAAACCAACACAGTTGCTAGAGTGGCATTTGTTCTTGACTTCTCAGGTTAAGGCAACAAGAACAAAAACAATATCAGGATTCCAGAGAGATTGCAAGTGGAAAAAAGGATGGCCCACACGGCAGTGTATTGGAAGAAGGCTTGGGTGATTATTTGACTCGTCCTAATAGAGGAAAGGGATACTTTGATGAGAACGGGTGTGTATAATCACGACGATCAAATAATAAGTGAACTCAACCGACAGATCAGAGAGATTTTGGCAAAAAACAATGCGAGTAATTAATAACATTTGGGAAAGCTTTATAGAGACTCCTAAGTCTAAATTTTAATTTCATTGTAAAACCCCCAAAAGTGAGGAAAATGGATGTTTTAAAATTCTATTTTCAATTTTTATAAGCAGAACTTTGTATGTTATTGTATAGTATTTATTTGATCTTATTTACTTTATGCTACCTCTTCCATACTGGTTTTATATGTAATTTGTATTTTATATACCCGTTTTAAATGACTTTTCAGTGTTTTTCATAATTTATAATCTGATGGCTAACTTTCAAAACAGCTTTTTACTAAGTTTGTTGTAGGAGAAATTACTATAGTAATTTCCAGTTCTACTATGTTTCATATTGAGCCAAAAGAGTATATCTTGCACTTTAAAAATACTGCGTCCTATTCCATTTGAATGTAAATGTCTTTAAAGTTGAGACCAGTTGTAACCAGTTTAACACATTTTGGATGACCTCTTTTCCTTAACTTACAGTATTTGCAAGTGACATGTTTCAAAAGAAAGATCAGTACAGACAAGCCATTTGACATATTGGGTGACAAATTGGTCATTTATTTAAATAAAGTTAATGCAGATTAAATTTGTTTCAAGAGCTATTGAATTTTCAAATTTCCAGTGTACTCATAACTTTTAAGAACATGAAGTGTTAGCTTAATATAGTTTTCTCTGTCAGTTTCTTGCTCAAGTTTGCATTGTTTTCTTTTGTTAAAATTAGAGATTTATTTGCCAGTTATGGTAATACTAGCTATAGCTTAAACCCTCTGTAATAGAACATGGAAACAGACACATAAAGACATTAGCTGAAAAAATAGAGTAAAAATCAACTATTTTTCACTCCCCCTAATTTCACTCTTTTTCAAAAGTGCACGAGATTCAGTCATTGGATTTATGCAGTGCCATGTCTGTATAAACTCTAAGAGTTCTTTTATATCATATTCTTCAGAGCCAACATTTGTCCTCAAAGCAATGCTTTCTAGCTCCTTTTACAGAATACTCGAAAAGTTTTAGCAAATTCACAGATTAGGTTGAATTTCAAAATATATGTACTTTAAAAATTTCTAATTTCCAAATATAATAAATTTATGTATATACTTTAGGAAGTTACCAATAGTTTCCATCAAAGCAGAATAGGGTATATGGTAACATTAATTTCTTGTCATTTTAAATGAGATATATTTCTTTTTATGGAAATTAAAGTCCCTATACTTATTATATATATTTTTTCTTATTAACAAAATATTAATCTAAAAATAACAGCAGTAAATAATAAATTACTGAATGAGAGGATAATGAATCTGTGAATCATAGCAGGAATTTGCAATATTAATTATGATTAGCTATTTTTATCTCATTGATTTTTGTGCCACTTCAATGGAACAGAAGTATGCCTTTTGTTTTGGAAGGTCTGGGATAAAATGCTATTTTTTATGCCAGATTATTATTATTTTTACTATTTACCTTCAATTGCATTGTGTGTTACCTGTGACTGTTTTCAAACACTAGAGGGGGCCTCTGATTTAAAGAAACAAAAAGGACTTTTCTAAAATGGATGTGTAGTTTATTTTGCCTTCTGTAAAGCTCTTTTGGCTATTGTAATTTAACAAATAAAATCATAATTGCGTGCATCTCTGAGTTCTTGAGCAGCCTGTTACTTTTGTTTCTAAACAGAGTGGGCAAAGTGTTTGAGTTTTCCTATTGCAAATGACTCTTTTTTTTTTCTCAAGTATTCACATACTATTTTTTGTCTTACAATTAGGGGAGTCTGAAATCTTAACACTCTTCTGTAGTCCTTTTAGCAATGCCCATTTCATTTGTAAATGCTGTAGAATGTATTTACACTGATTTTGCCTAGGACTTAATGAGCATGACCACATGACTATATCAGTGAGTGGGTTGCAAGCATGGCTGGGTGAATAAGTTTCCTAGTAACAGGAGACCTTGTATCAAATATTTTCAGATGAAATAAGATTTACCTTTAAAATTTCTCTGATTTTTCATGGAGAAAGTCTAGTTTCCATGTTTAAGGCAGGCATGTACTGCATAGGAGGGGTGTCTAATGTCTATCAGGTGTATCTAATACCATGTCTGTATAAATATAGGAGTTCCCTTGCAGATAAATCCTAGTAATTTCTATCTGGACCTGAATTCCTGTTGCTTCAAGCAGATGTGTGAGTAGTGATTTAAGGATGTATTAGGGGCTCTACTGATAGGCAGACAGTCTCATCTGACCAGATGATTTTCTCCTCTACTTCTTATCCAGATGCTGCCCAGCCTGAATCTGGGTTCACAGATTGCCCCAGTATATATTGCTTGTTTGCAGCCACTTCAGAATGGACTAACCAGCTTTTTATAGTTTATAAGAAGGGCCCTCCAGTAGCTATATATGAACTTAAAAGATATGTTCTCACTACCGTTGTGTCTAGGTTCATTGAATACCTAATTTTTTAATTTTTAAAATTGACCATTCTTCTGCCTCAGCCTCCCAAGTAGCTGGTACTATAGGTGTGTGCCACCACACCCGGCTAAATTTTGAATTTTTAGTAGAGACAGGGTTTCGCTATATTGGCCAGGCTGTTGTCAAACTCCTGACCTCGTGATCTACCTGCCTTGGCCTCCCAGAGTGCTGGGATTACAGGCGTGAGCCACCACACCTGGCCACAACCACTAATCTTGCTGACTCTGGATTTGCCTATTTTGGATTCATATAAATGAAATCCCAAATTGGATATTTAAAATAGAAAATGTTAGAAAACCTAAGGGATTTTTTTCTATTACTAATTTCTATAATATGTTTTATCAGTTGTTGAATGAAATGATACAGAGATCTAGAAGGCCAACATAAGGGTATAACATTCATGAACCATTGGGAATAGAGTTCAACTTCTCTTGTATCTATCCCCTATAAAGCACTGACTAAAAATAATAGTGAAAAGTAGATAATGTTCTAGCAATTCTGGTGCTGAAAATGGGTAGCTGACACAAAGCTTGTGTTGTATCATCGGTATCATCAAAATTGCACACTTTTCTATGGTTTACAGAGTTTGGGGATAAAGTGAAGCAGTGTCAACCAGAATGTGAGGTCTGTGAGGGCATCCCAGGTCTATCTTAGTTTCTTCTAGAACTAAAAAAAGTGCTGGCCATATGTATGCACTCAAGATAATATTTGCTAAATTTATAAAACAACAAAAGATTATGTATGGTCTGTGAAAATAGATGTAAACAATTTTGATGGCTGAAGTGCAGGAGAAAACACACCCCCATGGCCTCACTGATAGGTTTATGAACTTGTGGTCTGGCTGCCCGGGACCTATAGAAGTAGAGGAGTTCTGTTTGTTGGATTTTTTACTTAAAAAAAAAAAAAAAAAAGTTAGCTTTAAATTCAAAACGATCGTGGGGAAGAAGGAAGGGGGAATTACTGTTCAATAGATCCAGAGCTACTGTTTGGGATGGTGAAAAAGCCCTGGATTATGAAAAATGGAAATAATTGCACAGCAGTGTGAATAATTCTACTGAATTTTACACTTAAAAATAATTAAGATGACCAGGTGCAGAGGCTCATGCCTGTAATCCCAGCACTTTAGGAGGCTGAGGCAGGCGGATCACAAGGTCAGGAGATCGAGACCATCTGGCTAACATGGTGAAAACCTGTCTCAACTAAAAATGCAAAAAATTAGCAGGGCATGGTGGCACGCATCTGTAGTCCCAGCTACTCAGGAGGCTGAGGCAGGAGGATTGCTTGAACCTGGGAGGTGGAGGTTGCAGTGAGCCAAGAACATGCCATTGTACTCCAGCCTGGGCAACAGAGAGAGACTCTATCTCAATCAATTGATCAATCAATCAAAATAATTAAGATGGTACATTTTATGTTCTATATATTTTACTACAATTTTTTAAAAATTTGCTTCAACCTCTGCCTCAAATCGCCCTACCCAGTGTTCTCATGCTGAAAGTTTTCTGCATAAGAGTCATTTGTCATTTCTGAAGATAACATCTTGTCATTCCTCAGTTGTAGAACTGGATCAAAGATGCTTCATTAAATGTTTATAGCACCTTTAGCAAAATCTGAAATGAGTGAAAACTAATGGCTACATTTAAATCCTGAGTTCTAAAGATAAATTGTAGGCTCCTTGAAACTTAGAATTGTATTGCCTTCATGTTTTATAAAATTATGTCTTGTTATCCTTAATGACAATTTAGAATAAAATTGTTTTTTTATATTTAGCAAATAGTCCAGTCCATCGATCTAAATTGGAGAGAGAATTACACACACACACACACACAAACACACACACACACACACACACACCCCAGATTACTAGTACCCTAAATTAGGCTTAGTATCTTTTTTGGTGGTAGGTAAGTCTTACTGTTGGCTAGTGGTCTTATTAACCAATAAAGTGGTTCGTGTAAGAGTGTTAAAGTCTGGCCAAGTCATTTTAAATTATGACTTGAAAATGTAAATCCGTCTTCGACGTTTGTGTTTTGGCAACTGTATTAACAGCATATCCCTGGGAGCATAGATGTTTCACTGTGCACTTGTTCTGCCACTTGCTGTAGTGTACAATCATGCTTCTTCCTAGCCAGTGTGCCCTCTGCTTCCAGGACTTGGGAGACAACGTAATCCATCCATATTGGCATAAATGGGGAAATAGAGACAGAATTGCTTAAGTACCTAAATGTTCTACTGAAACCAAAGAACTAGATCACTCACTGATTTTGTTATATAACCTCTGTTTGGCATCAAATTAGAATCTGCTATTGTTAGCAATGTAACTGTAGAAAGGCTGCTATATACTTAATTCCCATTTTATTTGCTTCTCTGGGGGTTGTCTTAGTGTTTTCATTTGAAATGTTTTTACAGATGTAGGCTCTTCAGATATGAAGTTGCTGAAGTGAAGACTCAGAAGTTTAGCTTTCAAATGGAAGAGGGGTGGAAATCTGTTTAGGAAGATTAATTTTTAGATAAATAATTTACTGACTCTGATATATTAATGTACAATAATCTCTAGAGGCTTTTAAAGATGTTATTATATTCTTAAGGTTTCTAAGAATGTTAAACCTGTCATTCATAATAGGAGAGAACTAAAATAGAGTCCATTTATACTTTCTTCTTGGAAACATTTCACTCACATATTCGTGGACAATTTCTTTTCCAAACAACTTATTTAATAGTTGGACGGCATAGCTCTTTTCTTGATTAACATGTTAGCTAGCTAGTCAAAAGCATGCAGATGCACTGGATGAGTGCAGAATTTTTCCCAATAGTTTAGATTAAAATTTGGCTAGAGCAAATAAAACTTTACTATAAAATCTTACTTTGACATAATTATAAATTTTAGTGAATTTTAACCCAGTAGTGAGAGTCTATGCCTAGGAAGTTGCAGTATATTGTTCAATTCTTCCACAAGTTCTCATATTAGTGAATAGATTGAGCATTATTAAAAACATTATTAAAGCACTGGCTTCATTTCTATGACTAATTTGCAAAGAAGGATTTAGTTACTAAAATTTATTTAGTTACTAAAAGTTTACTTAGTTACTAAAAGTGTTTATTGCACAATAGCAAAGACTTGGAACCAA